GGTTCGGTAAGCCATCTAGTTAGTTAGTTAGTATGTTGACTTCTCAGACAACCTATAGATACATTTAGCACTAGGCATCAAATGAATTAAAGTGAGGTAGTGAGGAAGCAATTACAATTTTTATTAAAATCTAGATACCGATCTGTACTAGACAGGAACTGTGGTGTTAATATTTACTTTAAGTTTGCACACACTTTGGTGTCCATTTAATCATATTCACTTACTGTGTTACTGAATGGTTCACCTATTTATTGTAGGCAGTGCAGGCAGAGTTAGAAACATTGAAGATGACGAAGGTGGATATAGAAGAGGTGGTGAATGCTCTGGCTCAAAAGGTTGATGAAGAATTGTTGAGCACAAGAATTTCACATGACAGACACTTCAGTATTACTTCTGACTTCAGCAGAGCTCTGCAGGAAGTAGTCCGTGGAGTGTCACATCAGGTACAAGAACAGTTATTGATGACCCTCAAATAATAATTTTTGTGGCAGTGCAGTTGATTATGAAATTACTGTTCATGGACAGAGAGACAGTAGAAGGAACTTGTTTGGCTGCTTTAATCATAATTTTCAATAACAGTGAAAAATGAAAATTAAATAAGATTGGATTTTTGGAATTCAGAATTTACAGCAATTATGTAACCGAACCTCTTAAATTCTTTGAAATGTTTCCACATTTAAGTATCTGAAGACAGAAGTAACGAGTTAAACCCATCAAAGTAGTCAGCCCACATCCTGATGTTGCAGGGTTGTCAAGTCTTCCTTTTTGTCATCTTACCGTCTACCATTGCCATGTGTCATCTAGACCTTAACTTAAACTTTCATTTGTCTTCTTTACTGGTACCCTTTGTGTGTTGACCACCTACCATGTCATAACATATCCTCTATATTATGATACTTTTCATTGCCATGTCTGTTTACATTAATCACAACTGCTCATCTTATTTTAAATTTATATAATTCTTAGATGTCAGGCTTGAGGTTCTCACAGCGATGATTATGAAGATTTCCGTCTTCTGGGTTGTTGCGCTGTGTAGTCTGGTTGATGTTAACCAACGTTTCAGATATTTAGGCTCAATAAATTTATAAAATTTGTATTTCACCAGCAGAGATTTGTCCTGCTCCTATAATACTGGTACGCTGATACACTTTCATTGTGACTTCTGACTTGTTCTTCTGTATAGAGGACTCAGAAATGAAGATTCACCGAGCTTTTCTGGTTACATATAGTTGTATGAAGTACAGGTATAGACACGGTCACATTCACGTTTCATAACCAGCAGCACCAATCAGTTGACTCCACTGTGCAATATTTCAATTGTACTCTCTTTGCTGCTTTTCATCATCCACACATCATTCGGTGCCTGTTTGTTGGCGTTACGATGAGTGTTGTGATGCATTTCATGTGTGGAACAGTCTGAAGTGCAGGTTAAGTGCAGTCTGACCACCATAGCTGGTGCTGTTATTCCATTGGATATTGTGGCTAGCAGTGTCTTCTTTGTCGCCAAGAAATTCCCCATCCCTTATGGAACCTAACTGTTTATTACTGCATCACAAGTGAAAAGTAAAATAAAGCAGTCCTAATGCCATGTAGGTCATTTGGGGGGGAGAAGTGGTATAGCTCCTACTTTCTTGACCTCTTCACTGGATGGGGGTGAACGATCAGCATCATGCTTTGGATGCTCTTCATCCCTGGGAAAGGACCCCGATACCCATCGTATAGGAGGCTGGGTGGGCACCAGAGCTAATCTGGACCCAGAGGCTATAGGAAAAATCATCTGCCTCTGTCAGGGTTTGAACCCAAATTGTCCAGCCTGTATCTAGTCGCTATGCTGACTGAGCTATCCTGGCTCATGCATTCACAAGACTCATCATAAAGAAGTAACTAAAGGTTGATCTAGGATCTAGATAACTAAAATTAAACAGAAATTAAGTTAAATTAAACAGGGGTTCACATTTTATTAGTCTGATTGGTGCTCAGTAATTATTCAGTCATATATGCACAGAAGAAGCCACGGTGGTCTAGCGGTTAGAACGCTGGCCTTGTAATCCTGGGGGTCTCGGGTTCGATTCCCGGCGGTGCCCGAATTTATAACTTGTGTTGGGCAAGGCCGTGGTCTAGGCAACACGGAGTTTTCCTCCGTGGCATCCCAACAATTACTCCATTCACACACAGAAGAAGGCAATGGCAAACCACTTCTGGATCATCTGCCAAGAACGTATATGAACAGGTCCCAGTCCGAGAAAAGGATGGAAGGATCCTGTTCATATGGACCTGTCCTCAGACAGAACACTAAATAAATAAAAATAAATATGCACAGAAACTTTCAGTTGTGTAAGACGTGACTGTTAGCAGCTGCAAGTATACCGTGATTTCTATTAATGCTTCCTTTTCTTATATTATTGTAAGGGAATTGAACCTAAATATTTTTCAGAAAATGAGGAAATGGATTGTATTATAACAGAATCCATTAAATTATGTTTCTTTGTCATCAGCTTTGTTCTTGGTTGAATACAATACTGTTCATAAATTTTTGTAATAAATTTAGCATCTGAAACGTCTTGTAGTTTTGCCACTAGAAAATAAGCACCTATACTGCATGTTTAATAGTGTTATCATATTTTTATTTTACCACCATGATTTGTTTTGTTGCAGGATGATAAACTTGAAAGAAGTGTTATTGGGGCTATGCATCAAATTGAGAAAGGGTTGAATGACTATGTTGACTGCAGATTCAAAGATATAGAAGGAAGACTCGAGGCAATATCCAAGCTAAAAGAGGAAATGGAGGCTAGAGGCACCAAAGTGAAACCCCGCAAGTATGTCAAGATAATATTTAAGAGCAAATTGTTGGGAATGTAACTACTAAAATATTAGAAGAGCATTAGGATGTATTTTTAATGGTGTCTGTTAGCCTTCATGAGTCACATGTCCCAGCAACCATGCATACTAGCTGGAGGTGTGTACCACTAAACCATTAAACTAAGGATTCTGATTGGCTGGAATCCTGATAATAGGAGGCTTTAAATCCTGTCTTGTCTTACAGTACAGGTTATGTGCAAATTTCAGTCTTTGCAAAATATTCTTTTGTGACTATGGATTATGACCAACACCTTTAGTTTGTTGCTTTGCCTTGTGGCAGTGCCATCACATGATGTGTTTTGACAAAAATAGAAAATTATCTAGAAATGAGGTGGAACTCTTAAGCTGGCTATACACGTACAGGTATGCCTGAACAAACGCGCCTCTCAGGTATACCTCAACGTGTAGATCAGTGGTCACCAACGCGGTGCCCGCGGGCACCAGAACTTTTTTTTGGGTGTCCGCATTGTTATAGAAAGAGGTTATTCTGAATAATGAAGGCCGTTCAACCGTGAACATTTAAAACTACGTATTTTTGATTGCACGGTTTCTCGTATCATTAAACGTCCTGTTGTTTTGCGTATTATTTGGTGTCCATATCTTATTTGTCCAGAGGAAAGAAAATTTTGCTTTTTTAATTGGTTGGTGCCCACCACAATCTCATAAACTCTCAAATGTGCCCGTAGGCACAAAAAGGTTGGGGACCACTGGTGTAGATGATAAAACATCTGCGGACGCACTAGAGCATGAGATATACCGAACAGGCATACCTGAAAGTTATACCTGTACGTGTGTAGCCGGCTTTATACTCATTATATGAACAAATAATTACTTTACTACCAAATGAATGATCAACACAGTCTTCATAAATACAACAACAAAACTGTGAGATATTAATGATAAGCTGAACAGATGCATCATAAACTCATTTCTGTTAATATATCTATAACTGTGGTGGAGAAAATTAGTAAAACAAATTAAATAGTAGTGTACATAACTCATAGAGTCCTTGAGAATTGATAACCTCTCAGAAAGTTTATAAGTTACCCACCTTACATGGACACCCCTCCTCCATCCCCATACTTTTCATTACCATGCTCACAGGATCCTTCCACAGGAACCTATCCTAAGCGTCAGCAATTCCATGTCCTCACACCACAACAACCATTTTATCTATATTATCCTTGGCATTTTATTTTCATACACCACATTCTGTGTTATGTCTATATTGAGAGACAAAAATTTAATACGTATATAAAACAGGTACAGTTCCTCTAAATTATTAGATAGGATGTAGGAAGATAAAAGATGTTGAATTGAATTCTAGCAACTGTTTCCCAAATTCATTTTCTTCATGAATGTAATTCAGAATTATTGTTGTAAAGCAAAAAAATCTTCATGGTCAGGTTTCAGATTCAAAGTCTTTGGGGTGGGAGAGAAGCATCTGCCAACTAGATTTCTAACATAGAAGTCATTTTAACTAGGGTAGTACTAGTGTGTTGGCCATTTCCATTACACCTTCATTCTTCAAGTTTCATCAGCTTCAAATGTCATTAACTTCATTTCCACCACTGTTTTCTTTTGCCAGGAAGGTCACCTTCGTTTCACCTGTCAAAGAATTTATGGAAGACAGACCTCGTATCTCACCTCCTGGAGCCCGGTCACCCTCACGCAACTTGGCATATAAGCTGCATGAACTTCATACACAGCAAATGAGGTATGTTTTACTGGCAGGCTTTGTGAATATGATATCACAGTATTAATATTAAATCTTATCATCTTTATGTTTCTCTTGATTTGCTCCTGTCTTGCATCCCTTACTTTATCCCACAACGTATTCTTTTAGAGCTAGAGTAGCTCAATCAGTACTTCAGTATGTGACTTGTTGGATTACCTGTGTTTGGTTCACAGTTGAGGCAGATTATTTTCTGAAGATTTCTGTCTTCTGGGTTGTTTCGCTGTGTAGTCTGGTAGGTGTTTACCAACGTTTTAGAGGTCATACTGCCTCCGTCATCAGGGCGATGAAGATTTCTGTCTT